AAACACGTGTTTTTTATCACCCTTGACAAGCTTCGGAATTCTTAAAGAACAAGAGTATAAGTACGCTGGATTTATTTTTAAAAGACGACCCAATGCAAGTTTAATATATTTCAAAAAAGTTTATAACCCTTGCATGACATATGTTTCATAATTATTATCTCCATCGACTTTATCGCTTCTTCTTCTTCAACATGTTCACATTTGATGTATTTAACTGACACTAATCAATTTTGTTTTGTAAAAAATAAACAACGTGTCAAAATAATGTGTACAAAAAATAATTCTTTTTAAGTCATCCATTAGTTTAAGAGTTCTTTTTGTAAGTTTTGTCCAAGGAAAAGGAGGGTTGTTTTTACAATAAAAGACCGAATAACTAAAAGAAATCATTATTTTTTTTCTTTAAATAGAAGAAAAAAACCTAAATAATAGACTTTATCAGATTATAGGTGCGAGTATGGAAAATCATTCTCATGTAACAGTTATAATAATAGACATGTGCTGCAGGGAAAAAAAACTAAGGTAAGAAATTTGATTGTTTATAAAAATTCAAATATTTCTGCTCATGAAACAGACTTTAAGAAAGTATATTTATTGCATCATTGATGGGCCACATCTTCCTTTCACGTTCGGCAAACCAAAATAGATTGGAGATCTTATCACATTTGCAATTTATAAACACAGTTTTTAATGAGCTTTAATGAGCTGTCAGAGGCAAACATTTCTGTTGTGTGAATCAGCACTCGTAAACATAACAGACACTTGACTACACTGTGACAGAGTTTATACAAGATTCTACAATTCATTTGAGATGAGTTTTTAAAATGTGGTTTAAATTGAAAAAAAGGTTCTTGTACATCCTGAATCTGCACCACATACTTATGTAAGGTTCTAATATGATGTAATTTATTCCTCCCCTTTCTATTGTTGCTCTTTAATCATAATATATTAAGGACAGATGATACAAACAAATTTTTTAATTATTGATAATAAGATAAACAGAACTCCTAAGAAAGATATGAAAAATACTTATATAAAAAACAAATATATACAAATCACATTCAGTAAAAGTTTATAGGTGAAAACAAATTTCAGAATATGTTAACATAGTGCTTAAAGTATCATATAAACTTAAGAAAAATATACCAAGCCAGGTGAATTTTATTAGGAAAAGCTAAATTAAAAATTATATGATATTACGTAATTTTGATCTTCCTCTTAAAATTCACCTGGCTTAGTATATTTTTCTTAAGTTTATATTACACTTTAAGCGCCAAGATAACATATTTTGAAATTTGTTTTCACCTGTAAACCTATAATGAATGTGTTTTGTCTATATTTGTTTTTCTATTGAATTATTACTAATATTTTCCAAGTCTATTTCATTTTTCAGTTCTTCGGAGAAATAATTCTAAGAACCATCCACTTTTCTAAACTTGTGACATGATATTAAATCTTTTTCAAAGAAAAAATTTGTTTGTATCATCTGTCCTTAAGACGTAGTTAATATTTTAATCATTAATAAAAGATAAACAACGCATCTGAACTACTTTAAAAAAAATCCTTTTAATAATACTCATAATATTTTTTTCATATTTAAAAAAGATATTCATAGATTGTAAGAATGTTTAATTGTGTGTAAATAATATTCTTCAAACTCAATTAAAGTTGAAAAAAAATAAACTTGGCATTAAAAAAGAAAAAAAATGAAAAGTATGTTTACAAACACGTTACACCACATCACTTTTCTCATTATCAACAGAAACTCTCGAAATCAGAATTGGGTCATCAAATGATTAAGCCGTGTGGTCAAAAAGGACGCGATTCACATGATTCAGGTTTTCACACCTATGAACTTTAAAGAAAAACACAAACTTTAACCGGATTGCAGGCGAATTCAGACAGAAATTAATATATCATACATTAGAGAAGGCCTTTAGTCTGGAATTTGACTTAACAATGGTTTTCAATAAATTCGATTATAACATGAAATACTTACTGCAAGCAAACTGTATTGTTCCCGCTTCCTCAGGATTGAAAACCAAACCAGCTTTTCAAATTACAACTTGGATTCATCTCTTCGCGCACACATTCCATTATTTCCTATTGGTTAGTTCTGTTGTAAGTGTTGTCAGGTTATTTCACTCTTTTCCTACTTGCGAGCTATAACAATTAAGCTAACAAAAAACTGAACCAACTCGTGATGAGGAAAAAGTTCTTGTACAATATATTCTTGGAACTTTTCACTTCTCGCTGTTCTGCTGCTTTTTATATTTCTTGTCTAAAGAAAAAATTAAAACATTGAAGTATTATATTCGTTCTTAATTAAAAATATTATGTAGAAATTAGTGGGTAATATATTGTGTAATATTTTTGTATGTTGTTTACAATAATATGCGATTTAATATTATTTCTTTCCTGGTATGGTTTAGAAAATCTGGGTCTGCAAATTGAATTATTTTCCAGATAATTTAAAAATTAATAATATTAAATAAAATGTCATGCAATCATTCATCTCTTTTAAAACACATGCGGTTATTATTTTGCTTTACCCATTTTTTCAACTCTGAAATTCATGAACTCTTAATTATTTTTATAGCAGTTTATAAAAGTTTGTAAGGTGCATTTCAAGAAATGTCACTTCCACGATACATTTAAGATATGAAACGTAAACTTTTTAATGCTTTGCCCTCCTGAAAATAATAATAATTACAAATACCTGTCGAATTCGTGAAGTTCATTCGATATCCCACTACAATGCATAGAATATGTTTTATCTTTATCCCGAGACATATTTCCAACTGAATCAACATGAAAAAGAATATTGAAAACATCCTATATTACAGGCCTTCATATTTCTACCATTTTCTAATAACTATCCGAGAACTTTAATACTTGCTGATTTTACTGAAATTTGAAATTATCTAATTTATTAAAAAAGCTACAGATTAATGAAACAAACAAAGACAGAAAGGCGGTTCAAATCAGACACAAAATACACGATTTGCATTTTTTGTCAGAAGAGTTTATTCACAAGGGCTGTTAAAACATATGTAAAAAATCTAATATAATAAGGATAAAGATATTATCTTTATATTATACATATAAAATCTTTAAAATCGAAACAAAAACACAAAATCCTGTTAGAATAATATTATACAGTTATTGACTGGATATGAGGACAACATATGATTTGTTGGACCTGAAGGTGAAAATGTTTCCGAACTGAATGCACCTCGGGCAAATTTTCACTTTGAAAACATCCTATATTACAACAAATCATATGTTCTAATTTTGTAATAACTGTTTTGGAATACCCTTCACTGCTCACTTAAAATTGATCAATTTAATCAAATTTGCTATATTATCAATTATTTTATATGGAAAAATGGCTTCTTCAGTAAAATTAAACATCAAGCTGAGAAAGAACAAAAGGCAAAAATTAAATCACACAAAATACACGATTTGCATTTTTTGTCAGAAGAGTTTATTCACAAGCGCCAGTTAAAACAAATATAATAAATCTAATATAATAAGGATATAGATATAATCTTTATATAACACATATAAAATCTTTAAACAATGTAAGGAAAAACACAAAATAAATATATAGAATAATAATTATTATATTATAGAAATGATCATCAGCTCAATTTGATCATCTAGCTGCTATAATTAAAACCAGCTGCAATATTTTTTTTAGTTTGCTCCATGCTATATAGTGCACCACTGAAGACTGGATCACGGGCTGGACTTTTTTCTATTTTGTTTTTCACGTATCTATTCACTGTTCGTTTCTCTCTTTGCCTTTGGGCTTTATATGTTTCTATATATACAAGAAAGAGATTAACATTTTCAATGTAAACAGGTACACCTAATTTTTTGTTTACCACTTAAAGCTGAAAGAAAAACATCAAGCTCAATACGATAAAAATTCTTTAATTAAAAAAAAAATTAGTTCAGATAAAACAGAGAAGAAATGAACTTTTTAATAAATGTTTATTTCATTTCCGATTAACAACAATAGTTTTTGTTTATCAAATATATAAGTCCATAACAAACATCAATCAGAAATGTTCAGAGCTTTTCTTCAGCCAATTTGTTCAATAGATTAATGATCATACGAAAAATTATTTTATTAATTGCATATAAATCTAAAATTAAAAAATACAAACAAATGAAGGTATGTGGAGATTTTGAAAGCATTAACAACTTAACACATTGATGAGAAATTACTTCATCGGAAAAGTCCTTTTTTAATATACAACTATACGACTACGCGAGTATTTCCAAGAAAGTCGACAATGTTTTTTCGCTGATATCCTTTCTGACAAATAATCAAAGAAGCTGTGAAAGGGATGCCGTTTTTAAGTTTTACTTTTGTCACAAAATATAATGTTTATTCATGATCTTCTACATCTATAACTAAATGTAAGTAAGATCTCATACAGAAAAACTCGTACACGTGTAGTGCAAACACAGATATTGCGAATTCATGGATACAGCGAAGTTATATTTGATCCCCAGCTATATAACTTAAACAAATTCCCTATAGGGGGATAACGAATTACGGATATAGCGAAATGATTTTACAGGTCCCAGAGACTTCGTTATAACCAAGTGGATAATCATGTATAGTTCAAGGCGATATTTAACAAGCAAGTAATAAGATTAATAATATATGTAAAGTACATACATGTTGTTAATCCCAAATGTAAACATAAACAGTTTAATTAAACAACGTATTTATTAAATTTAACGCTCTATCTAGTCATACCTAGGACGCTTCAGACAGACCCTGAAGATGATGTGCTCTACAAAAAAATAAAGAAATCTTAACAGTGTCTATTGCTCGGCCATAATCCATGAGCGAAAATAATTTTTGTCAAGGAAGTCCTAAAGAAGAGCAACAAACCTGTTACTCTGGCGTTTGCTTTCATTGTAGACGTATTCACGCTCTTAAATTTATAATTCCGTGGGTAAAAGACCAAAAATATAGAAGTATGTCGGCCGAACATCACGGGGTTTTAAGTGATATTCACAGTAAAAAAGAGGGATATAAAAGTTTTGATGGAATATTTTCAGGAGACAGCAGTTCAGTGCGCGGCTTTTTTGAAGGAATTTTAAATTGGTTCCTCTGCCGCCGGGGAAGTGATTCCGATGATTCGTTCGGAGAGGAAAAAGACGAGGAGTCCCGAGTACGAACCTTGGGGACCCTGGAGGGGATTGTGGCACCAGTGGCTCTGAACATGTTCAGTGTATTGCTCTTTCTCAGGATAGGTATGATATATTTTTTCACAGTCCAATGCTAAATCAAAAACAGTCAATCCTAAGTAATGCAGGCAGAAATAAGTTTACTCAGTACTTGAGAACGGCATACCTTTAGATAAATATATGTACTGTTTGGGCTAATGCTAAATATACACTTCTGTAATTAATAATTTTAAGAAAATACATGTAAGAGTAAAATTTGAAATATTTAATACACTGACTTAAATATTTAAAGTGAAGGGGAACAATGTGTCTCATATCTACAAATTTTCTTTGCTTGTTTTAAAGTATCTTTAATATAATATATTTAATCAATATAATGCCTACATCCTTAGAAAATTAATGGTTACAACTAATTGCAATAAAATGCGCAACCTGGGAATTATTTTTTCCTGCACTGGTTGTAGCATTAATTGAATTATGCAACAAAAAACTTAATTAAACAAACATGTCATTTAAGGTACAAAACCAAAGTATTATAATTATTGCTTGCTTGAGTATCTTGAATATCTCATTTAAAATTTGAATTTTTAGTCAAACTGAAAAGGTCTAAGATATATATTTATTGTATACTAAAATATTCCTATAGAAACTATATTTAGAGAAACTTAGTTTTATTTGATGGAACATGATACTTTTGTAGAAATCGCCGCCTTTGAAAAGATTGCAGATAGCTTTATGGAGAGCAGGACCATAATTAAATTGCTATAACATTAGAGATAAGGTTTTAAGTTTCAAATAATCATTTTCTAACATTGTAAAACGAACATGACTTGAAAGGTTAAAGTGTATTTTATACGTAGCAAATAATGACAATGTTGTTGTTTTATATTTCTTTCGTGTCGCTTATTGAATATTTGATGCGAATATTAAGAAAAACAACTGCAAGGAATTTGTTTCAAAAATCAGCAGAAATTCGATGTCGTCCATCGTCATGAAACCCATGTCTAGTCATAAAAGTATCTTTCTTGTACGATCTTTACACATGATCGAATTTTTACCCCATACTTACCCTTAATGCGTTGTTTCTACTTCACTATCTGAGAATATGTCACTGCCTTCTGGTTATGCAGTCAATTGATAGATGTTAGAAGATTTCTCTTTGTCTTACACTTCATCCTCTTGAATTGTCGTTGCCCTCGTTTTATATTTCTGTTCACATATATGAATTGCTTGTATATTTTCTTTCATGAAATTATGAACGAACCTTTTTTCACCTTTTATTATTAGTAATATGATTTTAGTAATATGATATTTTTTTCAGGTTTTGTGGTTGGCCAGGCAGGCATTCTAGAGTCGGTGTTACAGCTTATATTAGCCTACTTTATCTTAGTGATGACAGTGTTGTCAATCAGTGCTATATCAACCAATGGAGCAGTAGAAGGGGGCGGAGCCTACTGTATCCTTAAAATTCATTAATTTTTATGATGAACATTCATTTCTAAAATTGCACAGGAGTATTTAAGTTTGGAAGAAAACAAAGATTTATTTCCATGTGGATCAGACACATTATATTGAACTGGAATAAACGACTTCACAATGCCTAGCTCTCATATCTATTTCATGTTTCTTTGATTATTTACGATAGAAGTCGAATAGTTACTAAATTATATGATAAACTAGATCGTTTCAGCGTTTCCAATGACACATTATTTGTGAAGTAATGTTTTGCCATCACCAGCATCTTTTTTTTATTTCTAATTTTTTCCTCTCCCAACGTATTTGATACTCAAGAACAAGCTCTGAGTATGATCAGATTTAAAATCAGATTGATTACCTATTTTGTATTGTTTGTATTGTTTTATTCCCTATTTTCAGATGTGTTTTGTTTGTATTGTTTTATTCCCTATTTTCAGATGTGTATTGTTTGTATTGTTTTATTCCCTATTTACAGACGTGCTTTGTTTGTATTTTTTTTTTTATTCCCTATTTTCAGATGTGTATTGTTTGTATTGTTTTATTCCCTATTTTCAGATGTGTTTTGTTTGTATTGTTTTATTCCCTATTTTCAGACGTGTTTTGTTTGTATTGTTTTATTTCCTATTTACAGACGTGTTTTGTTTGTATTGTTTTATTTCCTATTTACAGACGTATTTGTTTGTATTGTTGTATTCCCTATTTTCAGATGTGTATTGTTTGTATTGTTTTATTTCCAATTTACAGATGTGTTTTGTTTGTATTGTTTTATTCCCTATTTTCAGATGTGTATTGTTTGTATTGTTTAATTCCCTATTTTCAGATGTGTTTTGTTTGTATGTTTGTTGGTGGTCAATCACTACTTGTAATCTTCACCTTTCAACATGAACAATTAAATAAGACATTAAAAAATTATCCTGTCTGAGTAGGGTTGTCACCCGAGGGTGATTACATGTACATGTGATGAAATCTTCAAAACAGTCCATAATTGCAATTCCTTACCTAAATATAGATATGATAAGCCGTGCTTTAGGACCTGAGTTTGGAGGAAGCCTTGGTTTTATATTCTTTGTGGCCAATCTTTTATCCGTGAGTCTGTCTGTGTTTGGTTTAGTGGAAGCCATGATCGAGAATTTTGGACCAGGCGGTAAGTATTGATCGATCAGTTGACAATCATTGATCAATAACAAATTAATAGACTTCCTTAAAGTAAATGCATGAATGAAAATTTTCACGAATGTATATTGAAAAATTTAATTTAAAAGGAAATTCCCAATTTTAAATCTAGTTCAGATGGAAAAGGATTGAAGAACAGTAGTGACGCATTTTTAAAAGTTTGAATTTAGCAATTTACATTAAAGAAAAAAGATACCAAACAGAAACATTAAGGTCTTCTGTTGGAATAGGCTATATATGTACCTTTTAAAAATGTATTTTGTTTATCTAAGAGACAAAGAAAAAAATATTTTCATTATAATTAACAGGAACATCAATAGACCATCCATTTTTACAAGGTGACCATGACTTCTGGTACAAGTATCTGTACTGTTCAATAGTCCTCCTGGTTTGTCTGGGAATCTGTATAGTCGGAGCTGACATGTTCGCCAAAACATCCCTGTTTATATTTTTGGTAAGTACTATGAGCATTCAAGAACAGAGTATCTATTATCTATTCGAGTTTTAATACAAAAATTTCCAGTTCTACAAACACCTGGATATTGTTGCTATATGACTAAAGCAAAGGATCTCGCAGTGTACAGTGTTAAGAACTTGGAAAATGGAAAATTAGAAATAAAAAATCCTTGGAGGATGTCGAATATCTCAATGTCAAGCACGGTTAAAAAAAAAAGTGGGAATGAAAATAAATGTATTTAAAATTCGCCATTATTAGTGAATAAGGTTAATGGTGCCAAAATAAAGTTTTTACTGTTATGACAGTATAATTTTTTTATATTTTGAGAATACTTAGAAGAAGTAGAAATACTTATATCTATATAATCATGACTGTCTTTATAGAAGAAAAAGAATGATTTATTGTATATATGTTGTTTTATGTCTATTCAATAAATTTTCAATCATATGGAGATTTAACCTTATGTTTTTTATAAATGCTTCAATTTTACTTAGAATTCCGAACAAACCTGTATTCTGCAAATACCTACATTGACACGGGTCTTCGGATTTTAATATTTCATTTGAAAATTTCTAGACTTTCAATTACAATTCAGGGGCCTTGGTGAAGGAATGAGCATTACCTATGTTTACTTCAGTTTACTTCGAAGTTTAAGGAAAATTATTGTGTTGTGAAATTCCATTTCGTGCTTGGAAAATGTTAAGCAGTGATGCATATGGAATTTTATTTCGAAATGATCATGAATTCATGCGTCTCTTTATATCTCAAAAACAATGAAAATTACCCTCCTTATACGAGTATTAGTGTTTTCACAATATGATTTAAACCCTGGCTCCTGGTCACAAGGTGAATGATCTTGCAGCTAAAACCGGGCTTCTTAAACCGCTGTAAAATATTTATATTTGTAGGTTGTTTTAATATGCCTCCTTTCTGTATTTGTGAGTGTGTTTGCCGAAAGCTCAACAAAACCGATAGAATATGCACAACAGGCACAGTACAACCATGGGAAAATAAACAGTTCTCAATACTGTCACGTAGTTAATGCCAGCGGCTTTGTGCAAGATTCAGCAAACTACACTGGACTAAGAACCGCTACTTTTCGTCAGAACCTGTTTTGTGAGTTTATTATGTTTTGTTGTTTGCACTACCAGAAAACGCACTTTTAAATTATAAATCATAATGCATTATACATGCACATTGTGGTCTGATTAGTTCATCATGTCCTTTCATAACAAGCAAGGTATAGGATTGCAAAGTGTAAAGAACGTGACAAAAATAGTAAAATTGGAATGAAACTATATGCCGAAAATTGACATCTAAGCCACAAAAGTGGCAAATAAGACATTTGATATGTTCACAATAAGTTCCATAGAGAACTGCTGTAATTTTTATTTATTTTACAGCTTATTATGAGCGGGATTACAGCTCTATGAACAAGATGACCTTCACCTCTGTATTCTCTATTCTGTTTTGCTGCGTGACTGGAATGCTCACCGGAGCAAATATGTCAGGTCTGTCAACATTAAAAAAATATGAACTAAAAACATGAAAAAGGCAACAGTTATTTTACGTTGTTATTAATCTTTATCACATTGTTACTGTTTTGGGGAATTGATTTCTTTTATTTGATAATTTGACATTTGATTTAATCTCAGAATGCAATCGATGCATAATAAATTATTTCTCAAGGGAAAGTCATATTGATATTACCATGAGCATGAATATAAAAATTTAATGCATTGTAGGAGAAACAAATGTGTAAGGGTATTTCCAACGGAAGACCTTCTACTGATTCTGTTGGTAAAGATCATTACCGGTATTCTTTTTTTTTCTTCTGCTTCCTAGACCGCAACTTTGAGGCCTAATATCTCGCTCATTTCTCAACGGATTTTGCTTAAATTTTCAGACGTTATAGACGTTAATAAACTCTATGAGAATGCTGTCAAAATTTCAAAAAGCCACTTCTGATTTTGAGTTATTTCCCATTAAACGAAAATTTATAGGCTTTCGTTTCCAGACAAAGGCTCAGAGACAGCTAAAGCTGGAGCAGAAATTCTACTGATTTTAGATAATAGAAGGATTGAAGTTGTGCAAATCGGTTTTTGTTTTTCGATTTCTCTATTCAAAATGGCGCTATATAGGGGTCAAAAATAAGAACGCTTAAAAGAACCAAAAATTACTCATATTTTTCTTTTTATCTTCTAAACTAAAAATAATTTGTTAAAATATATAGAATATAATTTGTGCAAAATTAGAACATCTTTCAAATGATATGTAGAAAAAAGGGCTGACCCCTAAATTAAGGGACCTAGAGGGGCTAAAAGTTTTTTCCAGATATCTCAAAAAGTATCGAAAATTTGTTATACATCAAAGAAGCAAAGTTGTTCAAAATATCGAGCTTCATTTAATAGGTCGTCAAAATACGTCCGGCGACGTCACTTCCGGTCGAATCGGAAGAAGTCAAAAAATGTATATTTTTGCCGTTTTTGACAGGTTTTTGGGTAACATGTGTCACTAGAAGCTTAAATAATAATTTTCCGTCCGTCGTCGTCACTTCCGTTCAAACTGGAAGTACCAAAGAATTGCTTAATTTTGCAATACTTAACATAGATTCGGAGGATTAACCCAATTTTGGACTTCATTACTCCTTTTTTTAAATGAGTTACTTCCGGTCAAACAGGACGGAAGACCTACTCGTTGCTTAGCAACGAGCTCGGCTCTAATTTTCTCTATGTTTGTTTGTTTTTTTATCTTTCATTAGTTTTTTTTTTATTAAATTTTCTTGTTTTGTTAACTAATTTATTTACTTTTTGGTACTGTCGACAGTTTATGTACGTGACATTTTACAGATTTTTCTAAAATCTGAAAAAGATGTAAATATGAATTGAACTGTTTTCTTTCAAAGGCGAATTAAAAAACCCTAGTAAGGCTATACCCCAGGGTACACTTGGAGCTCTGATGTTGACATTTACAACATACATCATTGAAATAATTCTAATTGGAGGTTCGTGTGATAGGTAAGCATTATAATGCAACATTGCATCAAATTTCAGAGTCTTAGCCTAATTTTAAGAAAAATTGTTTAGCAACTAGAATACGTTAATACACACGAATAAAAATTTGAATTCAATTTCTGTTTTTCAAATCTTAATGCTATATTGTGAGAATTATTTATTTATTTTTTATTTTTTATTTTTTTTATTTATTTATTTTTTTTTTGTCAAACAACTTATAACAGAAATGGTACAATATCAATAAAATTTGCTTGACTATTTTGAAATAAGACTTTATCGTCCTTTTCTATTTCTTTTTTTAAAGACTTATTCATTTTAACATAATAAAAGCTATGTGATGCAAAAAAAATGCGAAAATAAAAAAAGTATTCAATTTTTTTTTACCGATTTATCCAATCTTAATGCTACACCGAGAATCTTTTTTGTTTATTTGACAACGATTTTCATCTAGAATTTTTATGTATTCAACATAAGTGTTCTAAAATATGAAGAAAATGCAATTGTTTAAAAAGGAGAATTATTTAAAAGAAAAAAAATATATGAATTATTTTAAAATAATGGTACATGTTCAACCTTAATTTTGTATATGCATTATTACAAAAAAAATACCATGATATTAAAGTTTATCTTTCACTTTCCATTTTTTTCCCCTAAAAGTACCTAAGATTTTCTTTGTGGTCTATTTCCCCAATGTTTTATTACAGATGCCTTTTGCTGAACAACTATGTTTTTCTGCAAGAAATCAACCTCTGGAAACCGTTTGTTCTGATTGGAATATTTACCGTCACGTTGTCTGCTGCTCTGGGAAACCTCATTGGGGCATCAAGAATTCTCCAGGCACTGGCTAATGATCATCTCTTCTGTGCGTTTTAAATACTGTAAAATTATTACTGTGGGGTTAATTTCTTTATTCTTAAGGAAACATTTGTTTGTTATATGCTATTATATGACGTATTTCTGTCGATTTTGTTTTTTCTTTGAGGAAAATAATTTGGAAGTAGGGAAACTTTACTCAGAGTCTTTTGAAAGGTGTTGGGTTAGGTTCATTAAGATCTGAAAATGAAAAACACAGATGCCCTTTAAAAAATTAACAATGTATAGAAAGTCATATCTGCTGTTTTGAAGCATCTCTACATAAAAAACATCTTGTTTTTAAGGGTGTCTTTTGAATCCTGCAACCATCACCACAAAGTCAGAGAATCCTTACGTTGCAGTCCTGATATCATGGTTTATAATACAAGTAAGTAAAACAATTACTATTGTATTAAAATTCATTTCAGAAAAAACAAGATGTGTTTGTAAAACACTGATGCCCCCGTATGGCAACATAGCAAAGATTAAGCATTTCTTAAATGCAAATTTAATTAATTCGTACCAAAAGTAGGGTATTCTCACTGGAAAAAATTGATTGTGAAATTTGAAAGTATGCCAATGTTAAGGTTTTTCAATGAGTACAAAAATCTCCAAGGTCAAAAGGTCAAGGTCATTGGCATCCAATGAAAGGTCTTGCCACATAGAATACTTATGTAGAGCTGTGAAAAGGATGTCGTTTTTAAGTTTTACTTTTGGTACAAAATATTAAGTTTATTCATGATCTCCTACATCTAAAGCTTAATGTAAGTAAGATCTTATACAGAAAAACTCGTACACGTGTAGTGCAAACACAGATATTGAGAATTCATGGCTACAGAGAAGTTATATTTGATCCCCAGCTATATAACTTAAACAAATTCCCTATAGGGGGATAACGAATTACGTATACAGCAAATAATTTTACAGGTCCCAGAGACTTCGTTATAACCAAGATTTACTGTATAATCATGTATAGTTCAAGGCTATATTTAACAAGCAAGTAATAAGATTAATAATATATATAAAGTACATACATGTTGTTAATCCCAAATGTAAACATAAACAGTTTAATTATACAACGTATTTATGAGATTTTACGCTGTATCTAGTCATACCTAGGACGCTTCAGACAGACCCTGAAGATGATGTGCTTTACAAAAAAATAAAGAAATCTTAACAGTGTCTATTGCTCGGCCATAATCCACGAGCGAAAATAATTTTTGTCAGGAAAGTCCTAAGGAAGAGCCACAAAACTGTTACGCTGGTGTTTGCTTTCATTGTGAACGTATTCACTCTCTTAAATTTATAATTCCGTGGGTAAAAGACCAAAAATATAGAAGTATGTCGGCCGAACATCACGGGGTTTTAAGTGATATTCACAGGAAAAAAGAGGGATATAAAAGTTTTGATGGAATATTTTCAGGAGACAGCAGCTCAGTGCGCGGCTTTTTTGCAGGAATTTTAGATTGGTTCCTCTGCCGCCGGGGTAGTGATTCCGATGATTTGTTCGGAGAGGAAAAAGACGAGGAGTCCCGAGTTCGAACCTTGGGGACCCTGGAGGGAGTTGTGGCACCAGTAGCTCTTAACATGTTCAGTGTATTGCTCTTTATCAGGATAGGTGTGATATTTTTTTTCAGTTCAATGCTAAATCAAAAACAGTCAAGCCTAAGTAATGCAGGCAGAAATTAGTTTACTCAGTACTTGAGAACGGCATACCTTTAGACAAATATATGTACTGTTTGGGCTAATGCTAAATATACACTTCGGTAATTAATAATTTGAAGAAAATAAGAGTAAAATTTGAAATATTTAATACACTGACTTAAATATTTAAAGTTAAGGGGAACAATGTGTCTCATATCTACAAATTTTCTTTGCTTGTTTTAAAGTATCTTTAATAGAATACATTTAATCAATATAATGCCTACTTCCTTAGAAAATTAATGGTTTCAACTAATTGCAATAAAATGCGCAACCTGGGAATTATTTTTTTTCTGCACTGGTTGTAGCATTAATTGAATTATGCAACAAAAAACTTAATTAAACAAACATGTCATTTAAGGTACAAAACCAAAGTATTATGGTTATTGCTTGCTTGAGTATCTTGAATATCTCATTTAAAATTTGAATTTTAAGTCAAACTGAAAAGGTCTAAGATATATATTTATTGTATACTAAAATATTCCTATAAAAACTATATTTAAAGAAACTTAGTTTTATTTGATGGAACATGATACTTTTGTAGAAATCGTCGCCTTTGAAAAGATTGCAGATAGCTTTGTAGAGAGCAGGCCCATAATTAAATTGCTATAACATTAGAGATAAGGTTTTAAGTTTCAAATAATCATTTTCTAACATTGTAAAACGAACATGACTAGAAAGGTTAAAGTATATTTAATACAAAGCAAATAATGACAATGTTGTTATTTTATATTTCTTTCGTGTCGCTTACTGAATATTAATTTTGATGCGAATATTAAGAAAAAAAACTGCAAGGAATTTGTTTCAAAAATCAGCAGAAATTCGATGTCGTCCATCGTCATGAAACTCATGTCTAATCATAAAAGTATTTTTCATGTACGATCTTTACACATGACCGAATTTTTACCCCATACTTACCCTTAGTGTGTTGTTTCTACTTCACTATCTGAGAATATGTCACTGCCTTCTGGTTATGCAGTCAATTGATAGATGTTAGAAGATTTCTCTTTGTCTTACACTTCATCCTCTTGAATTGTCGTTGCCCTCGTTTTATATTTCTGTTCACATATATGAATTGCTTGCATATTTTCTTTCATGAAATTATGAACGAACCTTTTTTCACCTTTTATTATTAGTAATATGATTTTAGTAATATGATATTTTTTTCAGGTTTTGTGGTTGGCCAGGCAGGCATTCTAGAGTCGGTGTTACAGCTTATATTAGCCTACTTTATCTTAGTGATGACAGTGTTGTCAATCAGTGCTATATCAACCAATGGAGCAGTAGAAGGGGGCGGAGCCTACTGTATCCTTAAAATTCATTAATTTTTATGATGAACATTCATTTCTAAAATTGCACAGGAGTATTTAAGTTGGGAAGAAAACAAAGATTTATTTCCATGTGGACCAGACACATTATATTGAACTCGAATAAACGACTTCACGATGCCTAGCTCTCATATCTTTTTCATGTTTCTTTGATTATTTACGATAGAAGTCGAATAGTTACTAAATTATATGATAAACTAGATCGTTTCAGCGTTTCCAATGACACATTATTTGTGAAGTAATGTTTTGCCATCACCAGCATCTTTTTTTTATTTCTAATTTTTTCCTCTCCCAACGTATTTGATACTCAAGAACAAGCTCTGAGTATGATCAGATTTAAAATCAGATTGATTACCTATTTTGTATTGTTTGTATTGTTTTATTCCCTATTTTCAGATGTGTTTTGTTTGTATTGTTTTATTCCCTATTTTCAGATGTGTATTGTTTGTATTGTTTTATTCCCTATTTACAGACGTGCTTTGTTTGTATTCTTTTTTTATTCCCTATTTTCAGATGTGTATTGTTTGTATTGTTTTATTCCCTATTTTCAGATGTGTTTTGTTTGTATTGTTTTATTCCCTATTTTCAGACGTGTTTTGTTTGTATTGTTTTATTTCCTATTTACAGACGTGTTTTGTTTGTATTGTTTTATTTCCTATTTACAGACGTATGTTGTTTGTATTGTTGTATTCCCTATTTTCAGATGTGTATTGTTTGTATTGTTTTATTTCCAATTTACAGATGTGTTTTGTTTGTATTGTTTTATTCCCTATTTTCAGATGTGTATTGTTTGTATTGTTTAATTCACTATTTTCAGATGTGTTTTGTTTGTATGTTTGTTGGTGGTCAATCACTATTTGTAATCTTCACCTTTCAACATGAACAATTAAATAAGACATTAAAAAATTATCCTGTTTGAGTAGGGTTGTCACCCGAGGGTGATTACATGTACATGTGATGAAATCTTCAAAACAGTCCATAATTGCAATTCCTTACCTAAATATAGATATGATAAGCCGTGCTTTAGGACCTGAGTTTGGAGGAAGCCTTGGTTTTATATTCTTTGTGGCCAATCTTTTATCCGTGAGTCTGTCTGTGTTTGGTTTAGTGGAAGCCATGATCGAGAATTTTGGACCAGGCGGTAAGTATTGATCGATCAGTTGACAATCATTGATCAATAACAAATTAATAGACTTCCTTAAAGTAAATGCATGAATAAAAATTTTCACGAATGTATGTTGAAAATTAAATTTAAAAGGAAAGTTCAAATTTTGAATCTAGTTAAGATGGAAAAGGGTTGAATGAAGAACAGAGTGACGCATTTTTAAAAAGTTTGAATCAGCAATTAATATTAAAGGAAAAAGATACCTTAAAGAACCATTAAGGTCTTATGCTATATATATACGTTTTTAAGAAAAGTATTTTGTTTTCCTAAGAGACAACGAAAAAATATTTTCATTATAATTAACAGGAACATCGATAGACCATCCATTTTTACAAGGTGACCATGACTTCTGGTACAAGTATCTGTACTGTTCAGTAGTTCTCCTGGTGTGTCTGGGTATCTGTATAGTCGGAGCTGACATGTTCGCCAAAACATCGCTGTTTATATTTTTGGTAAGTACTGTGAGCATTCAAGACCAGAGTTTCTATCTGATATTTATATAAACTAAAATTCCAATTTGACAAACACCTTGATATTGTTGCATTACGACAAAAAGATATCATCCCATTGCACATTAAAGTACCGTACTTAAAAATGGTAAAATAAAAGAAGATACATGGAGGGTGTCGGGTAGCTCAATGTAAAGCACAGTTAGAAAGTAAACTGGGAATGATAATATATAAAGGTCGCCATTATTAGTGAATCAGGTCGCCATTTATGTTATATTCTGTTACATATTTCAATTTATATTTGTAGGTTGTTGTAATATGCCTCCTTTCTGTATTTGTGAGTGTGTTTGCCGAAAGCTCAACAAAACCGATAGAATATGCACAACAGGCGGAGCACAATCATGGGAAAATAAATAGTTCTCAGCACTGTCACGTAGTTAATGCCAGCGGCTTTGTACAAGACTCAGCAAACTACACTGGACTAAGAACCGCTACTTTCCGTCAGAACCTATTTTGTAAGTGTATATTTTTTTCCACACATACCTGTTTTAATATTTTATCTGAAATGCACTCAGAAAACTTATACTGAAATTTAAATGACAAGATATGGAGATAAGAAACTGCATTCAATATTTAAGTCCATTTAACAATAATAGGAGCAGTGCAAACACTGTCCTCCGAAACATCAGAGGTGGGATCAGGTGTCATGGAGGAGTGAGAATACCTTGCTGACCAGTCACACTCGTAGTGTGCTATTTTTCATGATCGCTAAATAACGGAAAAAATCCGTCGTCATTTCAATGTATAAATAATGGACTAACAATTCGTATGAAAACCCACAGTCAGCATTTGACAAGGTGATTGTATCGACCATAGAAATTACTAAATGATGATTTTAAACGAGACTGCTCATATTCATCTTTTATCAACTTGCTTGTCAATAATTTACCTCGTTTTAGAAATTGTTCATACGTAGAGCATGCTCTTGTGTATCGAATCAACTTAGATATATACACTATATATGCAGGTGATGAAGGTATATTGCTGCATAAGTAAGGGAAGTGGACGATACAAATGTTAAAGTCGTCAGGTTTATCATAAAACTTGGCTATTAGATTATTATTAACGTATTTTTCAAGTAAAATATCCAAGTTGGAAATAGGTGTGTCAAACTCAGTGGCATCTTTTATCTCAAGCTCTCCTGGAGATATCGTATCGACGTAGGAATGGAAATTACCATTGTTGACAATACGTCGTAAATATATCTGAAAGTCAAGCTGAAGGCCACAACAAATGTTTTTCTTCATATGAATACAAAAATAGGTCTGCTAATATCAGAGGGCAATATGGGAATTTATCAAGATTGTTGGGAACATTGTCTCCAAAAACCACATAGATATTGTCAATCAGAAACTCAAGCATCTTCTTGATGTCAACTTTAGAGGACTTGCGTGTTTTAACCAGAATTTGTTTTAACAACATTTGTTAGAACATATGAAGACAGGATCGAAATCGTTCAAAAACGGACGTTTCCTGAATATGAAGAGCAGGGAGCAGTGATAAAATTCAGCGTTCCCAGAATAACACCTGCAGAGACCCAATCTGTTAAAAAAAAATTGAAAACACAGTAAAAGAAGTTCTCATTTGTATTTAAGCGGCATGTAATATTTTCGGAAGGACCAGTTTACAGGATGACATGCATAAAGAAAAATAATGTTTCCGATATTGCAGTGCGGGTAAAAATAAATTTCGTAACGCGATTTTTGCCATATTTCTGTAATTAAATTGTTTAACGTGCACAGAGGTTGGATGATTTGCAGGATATGACACAGGCATTGTTGAATATTATTGTACACTATTACTTCGTAGAAAATTTGTTTTGCATCTTTTTTTAATTCTACAGCACATTATGAGCGGGATTACAGTTCAATGAACATAATGACCTTCACCTCTGTATTCTCTATTCTGTTTTGCTGCGTGACTGGAATTCTCACCGGAGCAAATATGTCAGGTCTGTTATCACTACAAAAGAGCTCAAATGCCAAAGTATTTGACCTTGTTATAAATTGTCATCACTTTGTTTTATGGAGAACATAATATTTTTTTTATTTGATAATTTGATATATTATTTAATTTATGACATTTTTGTATAATCGAAGCATTATAATTTTTTTTCAAGGGATACAAGTTATTTTAACATGCTACAATTATCAATATGAGTTGAAAAAAATCTGTTTTCTTCAAAGGAGAATTAAAAAACCCTAGTAAGGCAATACCTCAGGGTACACTTGGGGCTCTGATGTTGACATTCACAACATTCCTCATCGAAATAATTCTGGTTGGAGGGTCGTGTGATAGGTAAGCATAACAATTATTATTCTTGTATGAAACACTGCAACAAATTTCAAAGTCATTTTACAATTTAAATATAACTTAATTCGCAACGAGAAATACAAATCTCATTTTGAATTTCATTTCTGGGGTTTTTATGCTATATTGTTAATTTTTTTCATTTGTCAAAAAAAAAAAAAAAAACAATAGAAAGTTACTGCCCAAATCGACATTTTTGAAATAAGTCAGTATCTTCTTCCTGTTTATTTCAATTTATTCATTTCAACATAATATGTTGCCATGGGTTACCAAAAATGTGCGAAATTAAAAAAAGTCTACATGGTTTTTTTTTCTGATTCATCAAATTTAATGCTATATACATTTACTCTTTTTTGTAATTTGACGACGATTTATATGTTGTATATTCATGTACATGTATTCTAAAAATATGCGGGAAAAAATTACATTCTTTAATAACGAGGATTAAAAAAAATTGGCATAACTTAAATAATGGTACATGTACATGCTAATACAAAATTTTATGAACAGTTATTAAAGTATATGTATCACTTTTCTCATTCGTTTTGTTTAATAACAAAATCTTTTTTTCTCTAAAAGTGACACAAAAGTGGTCAATAATTCCCTTGTTTCGTTACAGATGCCTTTTGCTGAACAACTATGTTTTTCTGCAAGAAATCAACCTCTGGAAACCGTTTGTTCTGATTGGAATATTTACAGTCACGTTGTCGGCTGCTCTGGGAAACCTCATTGGGGCATCAAGAATTCTCCAGGCCCTGGCTAATGACCGTCTCTTCTGTGCGTTTTAGATACTGTAAAATTATTACTGTGGGGTTAATTTCTTTAATCTTAAGGAAACATTTGTTTGTTATATTAATATGATTATTATTATTAATATTATTATATTATTATATTATTATTATTATATTCGTATTATTTATTCCCGTCGATTTAGTTTTTACGTAGAATGAAATAATTTGGAAGACGGGAAGATTTTTTTCAGAATCTTTTGAAAAGTGCTGGGTTGGGTTCATAAAGATATCGACATATTTTAATGGACGAGACTAAGTTTGTATGTTTAAAGCGTGGAATGTATCAAAATAAGAACACAGATGCTCTGCTCTTGAAAAAAAAAATAACAATTTATTCAAAATCGTATCTGCTGTTTCGATGCATCTCTACATGAAATATCATGTTTTAAGGGTGTGTTTTGAATCCTGCAACCATCACCACAAAGTCAGGGAATCCTTACGTTGCAGTTCTTATATCATGGTTTATTATACAAGTAAGTAAAACAATTAATATTGTATTAAAATTTATTTTTAGAAAAAAATAAGTATCAATAATATATATTATTATTATTATTATTATTATTATTATTATTATTATTATTATTATTATTATTATTTTTAAATATTTATAAAGCGCCCCATATATTAAACTCTAAGGCGCTGTACAAGCAATATATGTAAAACAAATAAAACTTAAAAATTTACATCAATCACATTCATATTATCAATGAAACATATGGAGATAAGGAACAGTATTAAATGATAAAAATCCATAAAACAATACAAAATAAGATATAGTTGACATGGACCTCCGAAAAATCAGAAGTGGGATCAGGTGCCATGGAGAAGTAAGCATCCTCTGTTGACCAATCACACCCGTCATAAAAACGATGCTCAGAAATTACATGCAATAATGCTTCTAATCTCCTTCTTTCCTAGTTGATCCTGCTAGTCGGGTCACTGAATGCGATCGCTCCCATTACTTCAGTGTTCTTTTTGTTGTCCTATGCTTCAGTGAATTTGGCATGTCTGGCCTTGGAACTAGCTGCAACACCCAACTTTAGGTAAGAAGGATATGGAGAAAGTTTATTGTCCATTTTATACAAAATAAGAACACCTCGAAACATCAGAGGTGGGATCAGGTGCCATGGAAGAAGCAACCGGACCCGCCGTGTGCTCGTTGTCATAATCAGGAAATTAAAATGTGGTCAATTTTATATAATGGACTAACAATTTGGTTGTTATATTCATTCAATGATAAATTGTATTTGCTGACAAGGTCATTGTATCGACCATAGAATTTTGAAATGATGACTTTAAACGAACGTTGATATTCTTGTTTCATCAACTTGCTTGTCAATAATTTGGTCGTTTAAGATTGTTTACGTAGAGCATGCTCTTGTATCGAATCAAGTGTATGTGAAGGTATATTGCTGCATAAGTAAGGGAAGTTTAGAAAAGTTGTATCACGTTTATCATATCTTGGTTGTTAGATTACCATTAGTGTCTTTTTCAAGTAAAATATCCATTGTGTGTGTATCTTTTATCTCAAAGCTCACCAGGATATATCGTGTCGACGTAGGAATGGAAATTATCATTATTAATTGACAATACAATTGATATTCTAAATGTCATTTTGAAGGCCACAGCAAGTGTTTTCTTCTTATCACGTAAAAGATTTTGCATAAATTCTGCTTCATATGAATAAAAAAATAAGTCTGTAATAAAATTTGTACCCATGGGAATTCCAATAGATTGTTCTCCAAAAACCACATAGATATTGTCAATCAGAACTCAAGCATGAAGATGTTATCTTCAGATACTTATGTGTACAATCAGAATCTGTTTTAACAAAATAATCAAATGAATAATGTTTAAGTAAACTTACAGTTTTTTGCTTTCAGCTGTCAATGATAGCTTGGATACACCATTAATTTGTGTGGGGAACAGTAAAGTTGAAAATAAGTTTTTATGCTGTTGACACCCAACTCTTGTGATTTCAAATTGTCCAAAAGTGGGTAAATTTTTAAGAACGTGACATCTTGAATATATAGTTGTACAGTAGAAGTTTTTCCTTCATCACTTCAGTATTTTTTCATTTATTGGAACCTGCAATGTATCTTTGTTTGTAAGGATTCTTATGAAGTTTCGGAATCCCATATATATAAGTGTATGCTTCTATTCATTATGGCTCCTGTGGAATATTAAAAGTATTCAAAACTGACAGGTGATTTTGAAGAATTTCTTCCTTATCTTCCAAAGAGAAGTATATGTATAAGTAGGATTACCACTTTAGAATTAAATCCAAGTTCTTCTAACACAATTTATATTGCCTTACAAGTCGAAGTAAATGTTGCACCTGCTTGAGTCGGCAGGAACCATACGTACTGACGTGTACATATATCTAATTTTTTTTCACTTCTAATTAAAACACAGAAGGATAATGGTTTTCATTTTGCCCCTCATCTTTTAATACGTACTTTAACATGGATCTGATACATTTAATCCAGCCTGACAAGGCTATGATGTCTTACAAAGAAAATTATTGTTTCATAAGAACATCACCTGTAAGAAGAATTTTAAAATGTATGTGTTTTGTACCAAGAATTTTATATTTTCATACCCAGCTTTAAATTCTTTTCGTGGCACACTTGTGGTCTGATTGGCTCTATAGTAATGTGATTTCTGGTAAGTTTCGTGTACACCCCAGCACGCCATTGTTTGATGCTTCTACTGATTATCATATTACTTCGGTCACTTCCTGCACATATATCAGGTAAGGTTTTAAGAATCATTATTTCTTTTGTAGCTTTTTGCACTTTTCATTGGTTACATGGGGTGTAAAAAAAATAAACGCTGACATCATGCAACTTTCATAATGAAAAGACCCATGTGCACAACTACCTGAGTAACTTGAGTGATGTTTTAATTTTAAATCTAAAGTATTGTTTAACTATCCCCTTCCTTTTTAACATATTACACTACCACATACGGTAATTAGATATTAGTTTCAAACTGGACATTATATAAGAATCTTTTATATCAGATTTTACCTAAATATATCTGTAATACGGAAAGTATATGTTTGAAAAATATTTAACAAAAAATTTCACTAACCAAGGATGCTTTCACATAAGCTTAAACTTTTATGAACCAGTGGTTCTTGAGAAGAAGATTTTTAATGACCCCACTCTATTTTTGTCGTTTCTTTATTATCTCCCTTTGTAAAGAGACTTTGATCTTTATTTAAACAATTTAAACTTTTCTTCACCAAAGGATGATTTGTACCAAGTTTCTTTAAAATTGGTCCATTGGTTCTTGAGGAGAAGTCGATAATGTGAAAAGGTTACGGACGGACAGACATTATATTAAGGGATGGATCTTTTATATCAATGTTCTGTATACGAAAAAAACAAAACTTTTTTTTAAATACAATAAATCCTTAGAATTTGCGAAAAAAAAAATTACTGCGACCATTTAATATTTGTAGGTGAGAAAGTATTTACTGATGCTGGATTCACGGAAGGACCATGTAAAGTATTGGCGTCTGCAGATCTTACTTATGGTGTCTAATCCAAGACAGTGTTCAGAACTCATCCACTTTATCAATGACATCAAGAAAGGTGGACTGTTTGTGATTGGCCATGTCAAACTAGGATTTTTAGATTCGTTTGCTGAGGATCCGATTCTGGTAGAAAACCCAAAATGGATGGGTCTGATTGACCACCTTAAAGTGAAAGCATTTGTGGAGGTGACCCTAGCTAATACTGTGTCAGATGGTTTACAACACTTATTAAGGTTGTCTGGAATGGGAGGAATGAAACCTAATACTGTTTGTTTGGGGTTTTTTGATGATGCTAAACCAAAGGACATGCTAAGTATGAACAGTACAGGAAGGAAGCAAAGCTTTTTCAAACGCTTGGAAGATAAAAAAGATAACATTGAAAATTTGTTCGTGAATATCAGGAATGAGGTTGATTCAAAACATATTACTTCTTCAGAATATGTCAAACTTATTTCTGATTCACTGAAAATGCAGAAGAATGTATGCTTATGTAGGCATTTTGATCAATTTAGTAAGCAATCTATTGTACAATCAAAAAAGCAACTTTTCATTGATGTCTGGCCATTGAATATCTTAAGACCTGACACTGTTCACTTTTTTGACAACGCCAGCCTTTTCATGCTACAACTGGCCTGTATTTTAACCATGGTACCCGACTGGAAATCCAAAACAAGTCTCCGAGTCTTCTTGTGTATAAATTCACAGAAAGACAACGCCTTCCAAATGCAGCAAAAACTAAACAGTTTTCTCCACCAGCTCAGAATCAAAGCCTCAGTACAGATTGTCACCCTGGATCATCTGGTACATTACATGTCCCAAATGTCTGGGAATAGCAATGGAACAGTAAAATTGACAGAGGAATTTAACCCAGTCCCCGAGGAATTCATTCATGCAATAAACCAAATGATTCTTTCTTACTCCAGTACAACAGCAGTGAGTTTCCTGTACCTCCCTATTCCTCCAGTGGATACCAGGGATTATGAGACCTATCTAACCAGCCTGAAAATAATGTCAGAAAATCTCCCTCCCACTGTGTTTGTTCATGGATTACATCCCGTTACCTCAACAACTTTATGATATTGAAGATTTACTTTGTAAAATATTTCCACATCTTTATAAAGTCAATTTTATCAAGCATAACGCTTAATATTCGGAATATAGTATAAAGTATAGTATAAAGGATAAAGAATCATACATTTACTAATTGATAGAATGTTTGAACGTCAATCCTCTTATCAATCGTTCGATCGGTGAAAGATTCGGTTTATTGGTTTTCCTATTTACAAGACTTTACTATATTTTAATGGTGATTGTCATATGTATTCGTGTTATATCGTAAGCTTTGCAACTTTCACCTCAAATATTTCAATCTTGAAACCTTTAAAAAAAAAAAAGCTTTAAAAATCTGATATATTTGAAATTACATTCTGTATATAATATTTTATAAATGTATAAATAATAAATAAATGTAAATAATTTTCCGGTAGAAATTTGTTGCAACGGCTGTATGAATACAGTTGACATTCCTAAAACTAGTACATGTATCTCCTGTACAATTGTTAATTTTGTTATCTTTTTTTCACTATAGAAATTTTGTATTTTGACGATTGCGAGCATATACATTGGAAATTTAATCAATAAAGGTCTTGATATAGCATTGACTTTTCAGATAACTGTGGAATTTAAAAGAAATGCCTTTTTTAAAGGCAAATCAATGATAGCGTATTTGTCAAAAGCCTGTCTCGGTTTAATATTTGATCTCACTTAAGTAGCGCATGAGTGAAGGAGGGACAACATTTTATTACAAGTTTTATGTCAGCTGCCCTGCTGTATTGTTTACTCTAGGCTTATTTTTTTATAGATCTTTAGTTGTTCTTTATGATTAACTTTAACTTTTTTTTATTTAATTCTACTTATGATTAATGTGTAAATCTGTTGGAAAATATCAGAACATTTTGACAAACAGTTGACGAATACTTCGGCCTTCTCGTTACAATATAAGCTATCGGCAGTGTCGTTGTGCCTACCTCATCGTAGATATGCCTTGCTGAAATCGTAGATTTAATGTTTATGATCAAGTAAATGTTCAACCAAGTCTCATTCGTTACTTCTCACTAAGATATTACCAGAAGTGAAGGAAATACTTCAAGAGCACCGTTAAACAATATATTCAAGAAGTGGTGTGAACTAGTTTGGATACTCAAAAATTCCAAAGAACTTTTGGACAATTTGAAATCACAAGATTTTACCAAAATAAACACCTTTAAAATTTATGACTTTTCAACTTTATACACAAGCATTTCCCACGATAAATTAAAGTCCATGCTTTTTGATATCATCGACAGCTCTGCTTTTTCAATAAAAAAATGGAACTCGTTAATATACTTACCTGGTTATTGGTCATGTGCAAAATTATTTTGTAAATTACAGATGATACAAACAATATTTTTTTTTTTTGGAAGATACTTAATATCATGTCACAAGTTCAGAAAAGTGGATAATTCTTAGATTTTTTTCTCCAAAGAACTGGAAAATGAAATAGACTTGGAAACTATAAGTAATATTTCAATGAAAAAACAAATCTAGACAAATCACACTCAGTAAAGGTTTACAGATGAAAACAAATTTCAGAATATGTTATCTTGGTGCTAAAAGTGTAATAAAAACTTTTGAAAAAAATTCCAAGCCGATTGAATTTTATGAGTAAAAACAAAATGACAGTAATTCAGCAATATCATATAGACTAAATTTTACCATTTTACTTGTCCTGATGAAATTCACCTGGCTCGGTATACTTTTCTAAGGTTTATATTACATTTTCAGCACCAATTTAACATTTTCTAAAATTTGTTTTCATCTGTAAACCTTTACTAAGTGTGTTATGTCCATAGTTGTAATTTTATTTTTTTCCTGTTTTACTTTTTCATTTTCCAGTTCTTCGGATAAAAATTCTTAGAATTATCCACTTTAATGAACTTGTGACATAATATTAAGTATTTTCCAAAGAAAAAATTTGTTTGTATCATCTGTCCTTAAAAACATTCTGATTGCACACACAAGTACTCTGAAGTTGACATCAAAGAGATGCTTGAGTTTCTGATTGACAATATCTATGTGGTTTTTGGAGACCAGATATCTCAACAATCTTTTGGAATTCCCACGTGTATCAATTGCGCTCAGTTATTAGCAGACCTATAATTATATTCATATGAAACAGAATTTGTGCAAAATCTTATGAAAATCTGCGCGAAAAGAAGAAAACACTTGCTGTGGCCTTCAACTCGACATTTAGATATATCGTCGTTGTATTGTCAATTACCAGTGGTATTCCATTCCTACGTCCATACGATATACCCTGGTGAGCTTGAGATAAAAAAAAAATACCACAGAGTTTGACACTTCTGTTTCATACTCGGATACTTAACTTGAAAAAGACGGTATTGGTAATCTTACAACCAAAATATTTGATAAACGTGATGACTTTACCTTTAACGTCAACTTTCCTTACTTATGCAACAATATACCTTCATCACCTGCATACGGAGTATGTATATCTCAGTTGACTCGATATGCAAGAGCATGCTCGACGTATAAACAATTTCTAAAACGAGCTCGAGTTAAAGTATTTACAAGCAAGTTGATGAAACAAGAATATCGACAGCAGTCTCGTTTAAAGTCTCAGTTCGTTAGTTCTATGGTCGATACAATGGCCTTGACAGCAAATACAATTTATCATTGAATCAAATGCTGACTGACGGTTTTCACGCTAATTGTTAGTCCATTATTTATACAATACACTGAATTGAATACGGAGTTTCAATTTTCTTATTTAAATAAATTTTATTTTGCATATAACTACATGTATAACAAGGGTAAATGATAAACAAAAACACCTGGGTTTTTTTTATTTATATATGTAGCTTTAATCACAAAATCATCATAAAAGAATAGCCCTGGCTATACAATACATATTCAATCATAATACAACAACATTAATTTTACATTTAACCAAATCATAAAACATCAATGACCTATGCGGAATTCTAGGTTATACCCCTTATTGTAGAGTTTATATAAAAAATCATGAAATGCATGCATAACTGATACTAAGCATACATATATAGACAAAAGTTTATTTATGTTGACATTATAATGAATAGTAATTATTATTCAATTCCATATATTTGATTTACACACAGATTCATACATGTACATCTTAAAGCATTTTAATTTAAAATCAGTTGTGTCATATTCATAAAGGTACAATTAATAGATGACACGTTTGAAAATAACATAAAACTAATGACCTTTACATTAAAACAACATAAAACTAATCCCTATTGCACTATCAATAAGAAAGGAATCAGGTTAGAGTGGGATATACGACTTTCCAATTTATTCCAGGGGAATTTAATTGGAAGTAGCGTGAAAGTCATGCATGGTAATATTTGTACAACACATTGTAACAATTTGCATATTTTTTAATGCCGAACAGTGATCAATCTCAAACAATTTATAAACAATGTATTTGAACAGGACATTAAACAACTGATCCCTGGAAATTCTAGGCAGCTATGTTGCATTCAAAATAAAAATATATTTCCATTTTTTGGTTTTGACATTAGCATTTTGACAATGGTCATTAATACATACAATATCCACAAACAGTTCCTTAAGCTACATATCAACACATTTATTGTAATATCAGATGACGGTTTAATGTTCTTATAAACTGCCCCCCGTAAGTGCAAAACACAATTATTGTATCGTAATCACCTGCACCAGTCTGTTATTTACTCATATATTTTTTTTTCTCTAATCAGAGCTCGAGTCCTGTAAGAAGGAGCAATTCAAAGTCACTTGCAATCTCATACTGAATGCACTTTATATCATTTTAGAAACATTAAACAAGGTAATGGTATAATAATATTCAATAATAATTACATTAGCTGTGTTTTTCTACTAAGCAAACAGTGAAGTTGATTTGAATACCATTTTCGTGTATACTCACGCGTAGAAATATACACAGAGAAACGTGCGTTAACGTGACGTCACAATGAGACTGCAGCGACGGTAATAAAAATAAAACGATATAGGGCAGCGAGAAATTTAAAAAAATGCGTATATTTTAGTTGCTTCCAAACATGTACAATGTAAATATAAGGAATATTTTTAAGTTTAGTGTGAATTATTGGTGTAAGAATCACACACCAATAACTCATAGCAAACTTAAAAACATTCCTTAAATAAAACACACAGGCTTAAAACTACAGTCAAGACAAAGGGGTCTCAAATGATTTTTTAGGTAAAATAAAACAGTTATAGAATGTGTACGAGGAAAATATCAAATTTATGGTTCCTCTCAGCGGAAACTATTTCCGTCGTTGGTTTTTGGTATCTCCCTCTGGGAAGTATAAATTTGCTATTTACCTCATATCCATTCCATATTTGCATACTTTAATTCAATGGGGAAAGACTGTGCAAAAAGATAATATTGTTTGCATCGAAGCGCAGAAAAGACGGATGCTGAGCTCCAATTTTTTTGCTATGAATAATGGTCAAGTTCAATGTTTTATAAGTCTAAATATATATACATGTATAATGTCACCAATCTCTATTCTAACATTCTACATGATCTTGGACTCATCGCAATAGAACATTGGATAAACAGATTTCCTAGTCTTTTGCTTGACAAATTTCCGAAAAACTTTGTTTAAGAAAGCCTCCAATTAATCTTGGAAAATAATTTCAAGCATTTCAATGACATGGTTTACAGACAAAAATTAGGCACAGTAATGGGAACCAAAGTTGTGCTAACTTATGATACACTTGTCCTAGGATTCCTAGAAGGAAAACTATATTTAACCGTGAAAGAAAAATTCGGTCAGGACTTTGAAGCTTTCATAAGGAAGTCGTTGATGCGCTACTTAGATGACTGTTTCGTCAAATGGGACAAAAGTGAGGATCAATTAATGGATTTTTTTAATAATCTCAACACCCCGAGCCCTACTTTGAAATTCACCATGGAATCGGAACGTAATATGTTATCCTTTCTCAACGTTATGGTTATTAAAAAAGAAAACGTATAATAACTTACGGATGTTTTCTACAAAGTAACAAATACTAAACAATGCCTAATATTTGACTCATGTCACCCTTGACACATTGTACAATAATTTCCGATAAAGAAATCTTGGAATCTGGTCTCTCAGAATTACAAGAACTACTCCTTTAAAGGCACTATTCTAGACGATTGATTCAAAACGGAATAAACAAAGCAAAAGCTCAAGAAAGAAAAATATCTACTTTCCGTGAAAAACAAACCAGTAAATAATGTCATACCATATGTATCAACGCATAACCCAAAAAATCCAGAGATTTTCAGCATTGTTAAAAATAATCAGCTCATTTTAGAGGATGATCCAGACATGAAAAAAAATATTAGAAACTTCACAGATCATTAAGAGTAAACAACAAAGTCCGTCTCCCAAATCCATCCTTACAAAGCATCCTTTTCTACTAACAACAACGAACCAGCAATCATCAATAGATGCAAAAAGCCCAGATGCAGTACTTGCCCATACCTGACAGAGGGATCTAAAGTTCAATTTAAAACCGGAAGCAAATTTACAATTAAAACATCAATGTCATACACCAGCTCTTTTCTCATTGATGTGATAACCTGTGCCGTTGTGGTGTAAATTATATCGGCCAGACAGGAGACACCGTGAGACATAGAATGACCGTACACCGACAACAAATTAGGGAACCAAAATACGAGTGTACCGCCGTAAGCGAACACATTAGAAACTGTGCCTAAAATAAAACTCCCAATTTCACTGTTTTTTCTTTCTACAAATTCCGAAAGGATACTACAGAAAAAGAACGTGAAACTAAAGAAAAAAATATTATAAACAGACATAAACCTGTTTTAAATATAATATAATTATTTTTCGTTTAAGAAATATACTTTCACTCGCATTATATAACTGTACAATTTGCATAAAAAAATCCATTTTACCGTAATTACTACTTACGTATAATCATGACGTCATACTAAACTTTGCTAAAGCGCGACTAATACTGGCGCTTTATCGTCACAATAAGACTGTTGATTTTGTGTAACTAAGCATTGTATTGTCAAACTAAAGATTGGAAATGTTGAGTTTATTTCGGTGTTGTGATTTTTTTTATTATACATGTATATGGAGAGATCTTAATTCCATTTAAAGGTAATATTGAAGAATTAAGGATTTCTCTGTGAAGCAAGATAAGTACATGTGATTTTGTATAAATCAATCCGTGCCTACTTTATGTAACAATTTCAATGCTATGCCTTTTGTCTTTCGCGTATCTTGTGTTTTAAAGACGACAAAATTAGAGATGCTTGCACCGTGCTCAATCAGTAGGTTTATAACAGACTTATGGTGTTTGTATAGTGCCAAATCAAGTGGTAACCGACCATTAATATCACGTTTGTTTATACTGGAACCAGCTTCAATTAACCTTTCTACGACCTGAACATGTCCTGCAAATGATGCCATATGTATAGGTGTAACTTTTTTTTCATCGCATTGATTACATTTAGCACCATGTCGAATTAATGCTTCTACAACCGATAAATGACCATTTATTGATGCATCATGCAAAGGTGACCGACCAGCTTTATCACAACTGTTGGTGTCCGCACCTGATTTGATCAATTTTTCTGCAATAGTGACATTTCCTGTAGAAGATGCTCTATGTAATGGTGTGACGTAATTCTTGTCACATGTATTACAATTAGCTCCGTGACAAATTAATGTTTCTACAATGGACAAATGGCCATTTTTTGATGCTAAATAGAGAGGTGAGAAACCATTCTTGTCCAATTTGTCGATATTTTCCATGTGTTCATTTTTTCTGTTGCAAGCATTTGGAATTTCATAGTTTTCGATTTTTCTCTTTTTATTTTGAGGACAGTCGGTGCAAAATTGCAGAAGTATTTCAACGACAGACAGATGACCATTTTCTGAAGCGTAATGCAGGGGCAATATATCATTTATATTACATCTGTTTACATCTGCCCCGTGTTTTATTAATTTTTCTACAACATGAGCATGCCCCCAATATGACGCTCTATGTAGAGGTGTTAAATGACAAATATCTTGTTGATTAAAATCTGCACTGTGTTGAAGTAATTTTTCTACAACAGCCAAATGACCTTTTTCTGATGCTAGGTGCAGAGATGATTCACCATCAATGTTGCATTTGTTGATATCAGCACCTTGCTCTATAAGTTTTTTCACAACAGGAAAATTACCCTTAAGTGACGCTTCATGCAAGGGTAACTGACCCTGACAACCACACATGTTGATGTCGGCACCGTGCTCAATCAATGAATATACAAGAGTAATATGATCGTTAAGTAATCCATAAAACAGAGGGGAAAGACCGTTAATATCTCTCGTGTTGATATCTGATCCTGCATTCAATAATATCTCAACAACTTTATCATGGCCTTTTTCTGACGCTCTGTGTAGAGGTGTTACTTTATTTTCATCGCATTGGTTATATTTAGCACCATACAGAATTAATGTTTCTACAACAGCGACATGACCATCTTGCGATGCCAAATGCAGAGATGTCTCACCAGTTTCAGCACACAAGTTGATGTCAGCACCATGATTAATAAGTGTTTCTACAACAGGAAGATGGCCTTCCCAAGATGCTACAAGCAAGGATGACAGACCTTGATTATCTCTCTTGTTTATGTCGGCACCGTGCTCTAAAAGTTCTTCTACAGCAAGAAGATGGCCTTTCTGTGATGCAATATGCAGAGATGACTGTCCCAGCAAATCACTTTTGTTTATGTCGGCATTATTTTGAATGAGTTTTTCTACGAGAGGAAGATGACCTATAAGTGATGCAAAATGCAGAGGAGATTGTTCTTTGATATCACATTTGTTGATGTCCGCATTGTTTTGAATGAGTTTTTCTACAACAAGAAGATGACCTTCATATGATGCTAAAAGCAAGGATGACTGACCGTGAATATCACACATGTTAATGTCGGCACCATATTCAATCATTTTTTCTACAACAGAAACGTATCCTTCTGCTGATGCTAAATGCAGAGATGACTGACCCTGCATGTTACAAATGTTAACATTGGAATTATTTTGAGTAAGTTTGCCTACTTTCGGACCACGGACTTTCCTTGACGATAAATGTAGGGTAGACCCAACATTATTCTCACACATTTTAATGTCGGTACTGTGATCTCTACTTATTTTTTCAACCGAAACATGATCTTTTTTTGAATTCAAATCAATAGTTGTTTGTTTATTTTTCTTACAGGCATTGATGTTGCTATTATTTCCATTAAATTGTTCCACAAAAGGGGCATGGGCTGTCAATGGCCATGAATAAAAATGCAATTTTTCTTCTGTATATTTTTTATGCAAGTCACCACCGGACCTAAGTAATATTTCAACAGCAGACAAATGGCCATTTTTGGCTGCGTAATGCAAAGACAGCAAACCTTCTGATGAACGTACGTTAATGTCGGCCCCATGTTCTATTAATTTTTCTACAACATGACTATGACCTTCTAATGACGCAAAATGTAGAGGGGATACCTTAAGCTTATTGCATCTATAACAAAGATTGATATATGCCTGTAATGCTTTTGACAGGGACGATTCATCATCCTGAATTTTGGAATTAAAAACTGTCTCACTAAAATCATTACACATATTTACATCAGTATCCGCTTCAATTAATATCTCGACAACGGGAAGATGTCCACGCATCGATGCTATATGAAGGGGTGACAGACCTAAGACACATTTATTAATATCATCTCCGTGTTCTATAAGTTTTTCCACAACATGGACATGTCCATAAAATGACGCATAATGAAGAGGGGTTGCGTTAATTTTATCACATTGATCATAATTAGCACCGTGTTGTATCAATAAATCTACAATTGACATATGGCCTTTTCGTGATGCAAAATGTAGGGATGTTTGACCATAAGCATCGCAGCTGTTGATGCTGGCGCCATGTTCTATAAGTTTTTCTACAACAAGAATATGACAATACGATGATGCTAAATGAAGAGATGACATGTTATTAATACACCAGTTGATATCAGCACCACATTCTATCAATTTCTTTACAACAGCAACATGTCCTTTATAAGACGCTAGATGTAACGGTGTTACTCCTTTGATATCACACTGATCATAGACAGCATCATGCTGTATTAATGTTTCTACAATGGGCAAATGACCATTTTGTGAGGCCATATGCAAAGATGTCCTACCCTGATTATCACACTTGTTGATGTATGCACCTTGCTCAATGAGTTTTTTAACCATGTTCAAGTGTCCAAATTGTGACCCTAAATGTAAAGGAGTAATGCCTTTTCCATTAGATCTATTACAATCAGCACCGTGTTGAAGCAAGTATGTAACTGTTCTTAGGTCCCCAACTCTAGATGGAGTCCATAAAGCTGGATAAAAGCTATTTTGAGGGTTTAAATCTGCTCCATTCAAAATTAAATATTTGATAGTATCAAGTTTCATTTTCATGCAAGCAGCTATAACTGGGGTTATCAATCTATGTCTATTGTTCGATGCATCGACTTCCTCCACAGGCATTCTATTAATAATTGTATTTTTAGTGTAATCTAACAAAATTTTTACCATATCTAATCTTCCTTGAAAACATGCCAATACAAGTAATCTTACTTGTTCTTCCTGTGTACATCCAAAGATAATATCTTTATTTTGATGATGCCTACCCATAAAATATCGCAGCAAATCGAGGTGACCATAATAAATTATGAAACTGATAACCCGTATTTTATATACATTGCTTTGTCCAATACATTTTAGGCCAAGAAGAAGATCTTGTCTTTCGATTTCTCTCTGTCCTATAACTTTATTTTCTAAATCAGTTTTTTCATCTTCTTTCTTAGAATCAAGTATCACACTTTCAAACACTTCCCCTCTAGATAATAAGAAAAAATTCGTTACATCCTCATACGGCGCTGTTGACAAAATTTGTTTAAAATGTTGTCTAAAAACAGAATTCCTGAGAGTGCTATTTAGAAACACATCATGTAGTTTCCCTTTTTTGACATCAATATACAGTCTTTTTGCGAGATTTTCATATTGGGACTTCTTTAGTTTGATGCAAAGGTCGTTTCCAGAATCTGTGTTCTCTAAAACAACTCTGTTTGCAATGAAACTACTGTTCATATATTCCAGAATTTGATCAGGAAATTGTTGGCCGTAATGATATGCAACAACTTCAAATATCAAGTCATGCATAAATGTATATTGATCATTACTTTCTGCAGTGTATATACCTTTTAAGTGTGATAATTGCTGAAATATTTCCCAGTCTTGGTGGGTTCCTTTAACTTCGCAAGATTTGCAAACATTTTCCAGCATTCCTTTGTTTACAGACACTTTCACAGATAAACAATTGTTGTTCAGCATGACCAAAACCATAGATGCATATTGGAGATTATTTCTTTTTCTTATTTTACCTAATTCTGAGAGCAAGCATTTGGATGGGTATGTAAAAAACCCTGATCCATATTCCCTGATACATTTATCAGTGCTGAACATTTGACAAAGAAGTGGAAACATGGGGATCCCTTTTTCGAACGGAAGTTTTGAATCAATGGTACATGAAATCTCTGCATTTTTCATGTGAGATTCAAATATACCTTTTTGATCTTCCAAGGTGAGAATATTCCTTTCACTATTTAAACTGATAATGTTATTCTCTTCAAAAAATTTTACATCTAATTCTTTTGCTTCATTAAACACTGCTAATCTACATGAAATAAATAATTTTGATTTCTTATCGAGAACACTTTCGATTTGGTCACTATGTCTATCTAAATCTGATAACAAATTTCTCTCTAAGGAAAACACACCTAAAACATCATCTATGACAAATATTTGCGGTCTGCATACGTCACCAAAAATAATGATGTCCTCAGGTTTGGAGATAGGAACAATCTGATACTGGGACTCCAGCTGTAAAGCGATGTGGCGGATCAAAGCAGTTTTCCCAGAGCCTGGGGATCCTATTACAACAACAGTTTGATGGGAAATGAAAAAGTCTTTCATGTTTTGAAAGGAAGATGTTTCAAAAAAGACACTTTTCTTCCATGTAGACAGAGTTTTATAATGTTGATCTGAAAAAAAAATAATAATCTCGGTTGCTAGGAAATCTCAAGTACATCTTTAGACTAATTTAATTTTATAGACACCGTTCTTTATTGTGCTGTTATAATTATCTGCAATTTTATAATTGTCGCATATCGTATATCTGGAATATTTTCTGTGGATAAATTGTTAAAAATTTGCATTGCAGTTTTATGTTATACATCGTCTAAAAATTTTATCTGATTATTGAACATTTGCATCGTTTCATATTGTATGTAAATACGTTAGAACTAGGTTCACTTTGTGTTGAAAATGGCCCTGTATATATACCAATATATTGGCTAGCACTCTTTGCTTTATTTCTAACATAAGGATAAAGTAGAGAGTAAGTGCTTTCATATCTTGTTAAATATTTCCACCTGAAAGATCAAGTATTGGAAAAAAGGCATTATAATTTGCCAACAAATTTGTATATTTTCAGGAAAAAGATAATAATATGAGCTAACTCCAAAATCAAAAAATTGAAAAATGGTTTGTTTTTTTTAAGTCTTTTTATTTGACAATGGCATACTGTATACTAGGTTATTTTCGCCTCGTCTTATTTTTTGCCCTTTTACTCTTTCAAACAATCTTGCCCCGTTTGAAGTTTGCTCAGTCATAATTTTGTTTAAGAAAATACACTGTATTCTTTAAAATCGCCCCGTTTTGAATTCGGCCAAATGAGGAAAGGGCATACAGTATTTTGGATCAGAATTTTGCTTAGTATGAAATTCATATAGGAATATTGGCATTTCTGTCAATTCTTAGGATATGTGTTAAATGACGCAATTCTTTTAGATGGATAAGCAGTCATCATTGGTTTAAATGACACCCAAGATATTTTCAACTAAAATGAAGCAGTTTCACTTTTTCAAGAAGAACCTAGGCGCTATTGATGGGCATTTGGCAGGAATCTGGGCGTACTTGAAAAGTGAAAATTATATCGACATGTCACATGAAATTTTAACATTTTTTGTTATATAGGGTTCCTGAAATTGAGCTCTGATAATTGGCCAGATCAGACATTTGGTACAAAAGGTACATGTTTAGACACGTTTTTCTAAAATTTTTCTATCTCTGGGTCTTCTCTCCATGATTTTGAACATTTTTTGTGTGTAATTCAATTCGAAGAAACGAAAACACTTTTTTTAAAAAAATGGAGAGAAGACCCAGAGACCACGAAAAATTAACTTTTCCCCAAAAAATCCAAATGTGTGAATATGGTGCTTCTTCGTCCTTTTAAAATTATCGGTATACGTGTCCTTTTCAAGACAATTGTTTATGTGTAGCGGTGATAGCTTAGAAAGTTAGGTTACTTGTTCACTGCACTCGAAGCGAAAAGTTTTTGGTTCGAGCCTGGCATGGGGCGTTAATTTTTTTTCTCATGCAAACAACCATTCATTTTGTTAGTTTCATTTTATGTACTTATGTATTAAAATTTTGAATTAGATAAATTTTGGTTCAGTTTGGTTCTCGTGCGAAATCAATTCAGAATCAAATCTTCTATTCTTTAATTTATCATGTATCATTCATTAAATATTTTAGGTGTTTATTTTTTGTGAAACATTAATTATATGTTACAGTACCCCCAGGAAAAATAGACATAAATGTTACAATTTCACATGGTCTTTCAAACTTAATGAAAAAAAAACCTATGGACGTGCTTGAAAAATCTGACCAGCTATGTTCAGCCAACCAAATCATGGACATTTAAACCATAAATGTTTTGTACAAATGATTCCTGCAGATTACACGCCAAATACACCCTTCTTCTTTACAGTGCTAAAAAGAGACACTTTGTGAACCTTGTTCTTTATTGTATCTTCATGCGTAACTTTAAACAGTTATAAAATTTAGACGCTTTTTTAATTATGGTGCAAATGATAATTCGCAAATTTTTGAAATCTAAAAATAATTCAACAGCTTTCTGACCCAGATTTGCAAGAATAGATCTTTCCAAGTTTAAAATATCAATAACTTCAAAAAAATATTAGTTTTTATTTTTGGAAAAATCCAATTCCTACAAAGTGTATTTTTATTGACAAATTTTAAATGTGTTTTTCTCAATTTCGTTTGAGCTGAATAGAAGAGAATCAAATTTACAACCTCGGCATACATTTGTTTTTCTTTTGACAGAAAATACGAAGGTTGTTTTGAAAGATAAGAGACTATCATCAAATTTGTTTTTATTTTAAACTTTACGTAATATTAGATCAAAACATTGTCCGAACAAAAATTCAAATAACATGCATTGATTTTATAATTGTGTTTGTTTTAATTCATCCAGGGTTAGACTATGCAAAATCTGATCACAAAACAGTCATGGTTTCATATTTTCTGTAAAATAAAGCAAAATAGAAAGAACTGTTAAATCGTTTTATGTTCCGAATTATGACTTAATGATTTGCATCAGTGACAAGTAATCAATATGCTGTTCTTATCTAGAAAGGATGACGCCGTAGAACGTTAGGGAGCAGCAGTTTAAAATAAAACAATTTTTTTTATACCTAGGTACACATAAAGAATCGAGGAAAAAATCTAAATTGTTGGCGGTAAGAAAAGAAGAAGAAAATATGCCCTAACCAAGTGATACAAATGTATGTACATGCTACAGGTAGTTTTTGAATGATCAATAATTTGCATGAGACGAGGACCCATGTGAGTAAATGGATTATTACACAAGAAGACCACGGGCACAATAGGTCACCTGAGTATCATGTAACAACTTTCCAACAATTAAATTGGATAGTGTTTTAAATCAAACGCCATAATTTAAAAATTGATTAAAAATTTTAAAATTTTGAAAAAGGCACTATCGCTTATCATATCTATATATACTTATTTTCCTTACTTTGATTACTTGATACCCAGAAGTGGATCAGAGTAACAAAGTGAAAATGTATTTCCACTGTATAACCAGTTATGCACCCCATCCCACAGAAACAAGTGAACCTGGGGAAACATATTTCAAAATTCTGGAAATTTTATCATAAATTTTATTTCACCATAAATAGACAATAAATACCAAAAAGCAGGTAAGACATTTATTCATTTTCAGAATACGTAACCCCCACGTAAAGTACCCTGACCCAGGGGTACTGAAATTGAGCATTTTGAAAGAGGCACATTTCACCATCATTAACATATACTAAGATTGGTTGATTGTATAGTGTTAACGTCCCTTTCGAAAATTTTTCACTCATATGGAGACGTCACCATATCTCGATGAAGGGCTTCAAATTTAGACCTAGAACTCCGCACCCAGGGTCATTGATCTGATGAACAGTGAGGCTCCTTTATCGTGCCAGCGCCTTCGGCGACACGGGAGTTAAACTTTTGAGTTAAATTAAAACAATTATTTCATATATGTTTTTCAGCATTTTTATCATACATTTTAATTCATCTTTAATCAACAAGTTACCAAAATTTTGTGCGATTTGGAGAGATAGTTCCTGAGATATTGATATCAATATGATGACACCCCCAAGAAATAAAACTAAAAATTCTCATAATCTCCCTTTCGCATCAGTAACAAACTTGATTTTCCTGTGCATTGAGTTCACCAGAGCATTTATTTTTTCAAAGCATTATTATTCAACCCTTTCGACGGTAGTCTTAATGGCTGAGGTTAGCTGTAGTATTCCAAAGTCAACCAATCCCCCCGCTCAATCGAATTCCGCGAATTTTCGATTAAAGACAGAATATACAGAACCCAGCAGGTTTGGTACTTGTGAATGTTTGTAAAAAAAATATCGACAAATATTACCTTACTTTTTCCAGTGTAAACATGCCAAAAAATATAACGCAAACGACGCGTACGTGCGCGTTTAAGAGTAAAATCGACGTAGGCTGGCCGAGCTCGCGGCCCAAATTAGAATGGAGAGTTTCTGTCAGTTTAGGGTGAAAAAAGTGAGTATTTTTGTCTGCTGTATAAATATCAGTTTTGATGATACTACCTTGACAATAACCGAGGTGGCGTTATGAAAAGCCCTGTCTTGTTGTGACGTTGGCACGCGCCAACGTCACCGTCATGGTTGATTGGAAACATTTTAAGTTCACTCTCTGACAACCAAAAAACACTTTTACTTGGTTGAAAAGTTGAAAACAATCTGAACATCAGCAAGTTTTTTGTCTTTTTATTCATTTGTGCAATATTGAATTCAATTACTAAACCCACAGTAGATTCCCTCATCCATACCACGATTGCAAGAAATTTATACTGACTGCAAATATGCAAAAACGATGTCTATAACTCCAATGCATAGTATGGTACTACACAATTTTATAACAAAATTATCATCACTAACATGCACGTGTTTTTGACTTTTTATCATTTCCCCTACGTGATGCCATACATTTCGTGGTTGAGTAGTTTTGACTAGTGATTTTAGAGTAAAGTAACCAAAACAAACATCTGACCAATTTTCATATTTTTCGGTCACATAGTCAGAAAATTTTCCCATATCATGTTCTTGTGCGTTTCTTAATCCTTTCAGTATATGTACTTAGAACATTGGCATAATAACCAGGAAAGGAAAAGTTTTCGAAGAATTTATGCATTTTCACTACATAATCATTAGAGTCCCTCCCTAACACAAAAACCCGACCCTGGCACCCTGAATTTCATTAATCTGGAAGTGGCATCCTTCGTCATCATAACTATGTTCATAGCTAATTGGTTTAATGCTCAGTAGCAGAGGAAAAAATTTTTTTAATTGATGTTTTTTTCATTATATAATCAATAAAGCTTCACCTTAACCCCAAAACCAATGACCCTGAGGCCATACAATTACAATTTTGGAATAGGCACTCTTCTTGAACATAAATATGTACTTGGTTAGTTTGTTTTATACCCGGTAGCAGAGACGATGATTTTCAAAGAATTAATGCATTTTCACTATGTAATCAATAGATCCCCACCC